TTTTTTAATAATTGCTGACCAACCGAGAGTGAAAGAAGAATTAGACCGGGAGGATATGCGGAGAATGCGTTTAGAAATTTGACACGACAAGGAAGGAAACCAAAAAGAAACTTCTTGGATAGTAGACAAAGAGGAATTTACCGAGAAAAATTTAGCCCAAAACTTCATACTTAATTCGGCTATTACGGGGGAAAGGACTGAAATGATAATGATCAAAGTTCCTCTGACTGATGAGAAGGCACGAGAGATAATTCGTAAAGCACGAGGCATAGATGTTACCGAAACTATTTTTCGGGACAAAAAAATTGCTGAGGAGTATCAAGACCATGAATTTTGGTTGCTAGAAAAAGTTAAAGTCCCTAGCCATCTTTTATAAGCCAAAACTAGGCTAGAATGTTCACGAAGTCCAAGAACAACTCCACGAAGTATTGAGAAAGTCCAGACCGGAAATATCTGTGAAACTGCTTGCTGTCTAGCCAATAAACAATCTTTTCTCATACGTGTACGCGTGCATTTTCTATATTAATATACATAAAAACTGCTAGCTTTAGGTCGTTTATTGCTACCCTTCTTGCGGTTTTTATTCTCTACAAAAATAAAATTTTCTAGTCAAATTCTGCCAAAATTTTTAACTCTATTTTCTGGATACGAATTAATAAGAGAATTTATTAGCATTTTTAGCTAATTTTTTTAGTCCTAAAATTGGGAGAATAAAAGGTTTATAATATAAAATATGATAGACTACAAAAATTTAATCGAACAAAATCCTAAGAGCGTTTTTCTGGTTTTTCTCACCCTGAGTGGACTGTTAATTTTCCTGGTTGGGCTTTTACTTTGGGGCTGATTCCGGTACTGTCGGTACCGACGTTTTTGTCTGGCCTGCCAAAAAGAAGTTCCGGCTAAGAATTATGTGGCCCGCTGAAATGTTACCGCTGGCTTTTGCGGTCCTTGTCTAGGAGGAAAATTAAACGAGGTTCCGGAGTCCCACAAGCAGAAGATGGAATAATCTCATGTCAACTAACACTAACCAATTACCGGCAATTGATGAAGAATTGGCAGATGACCTGCCTAATGAGATAGAGATGGTGGACGAAGAAGAAGTATCAGCAGATTCTTATGACTATGTCGATCCCAAGTTATACCAAAGATGATACCAGGAAACGCAACAAGAAACCCCCCTTGACCGGAAATTATTAGTCATTTTAGAATTTATTGATCACTTAGAAGGACGAGACGAGGAAGTTCGCTGGAATAAATGACTTAAGCATTGAAAACGAAAATGCTTGTTTTTGGTAATTATTCCGGCTTTAGTTGCAGGTTTACTTTCTTGGTTAAGAAAATAACTAGTTGGGAGTTTTTATGGCTAGATTTCTCTCCCTCAACAAAAGAAAATGCTTCGTGGTTTTGGCTCTCTCCGCGATTTGTTTTTGGCATAAAAAGAGGCTAACCAAGGAGTTTCTCCCTTTTCTCCTGCTTAAAAAAAGGGAAATAATTACTTCGTAATTATTAGAAGCAATTATACAAAGCAGTTAATTTATGACCAAACCAATTTATTCCCGTGCAGGGTAAAGTATGACCA